TATTTATTTATTTATATTGAGCTCTATACCAGAGCGCATTACAGTAGTCAAAAACAGTTAAAAAACAACCATAACATAATTACAATGATAAAAACATACAGTAAGCAATTATCATTCAATAAAGCAATAAACAATCAAAATAGCTATAATAACAATATAATTAAAGTACAGTAATTCTATACCAATAATTAAAACCACCCTATCCGCTGGACCTTGCTGGTAGAAAAGATCCACGTTAGTAATTCTTATTCAATTAATAACATTGACAGATGATTTTATAGCAGATAGTTGCTTATTTCCTCTTCTGCCTCCCCATTTCTCCCTGACATGTAGAAGCAAAGATGTAGAAGCAAAGAGAGAAATAATCTGTTGGTGCTATTTCCTTATTTGTAGTGACATGAATTGATACGGCCCTACTTGTGAGGTCATGGTATGTGCAAAAAACTGCTTTGGGTGTTTGCCATTATCTCAGATCTAGACAACATGCATAGCTAAATAGTATTGGAGGCAGGGGGGTTGTATTGGGGGAATAGGCAATGCAGAGAGGAATTAAAAGTATTCTTCAGCATAGCCAAGGTGAACATACAAAAATCCATCTGCATTAAGAGCACTATTACTTCTATTTTTGTGTTAATATTAACAACATTATCAGTACATTTCGATTGTACAAATTATCCTTGTTTTGAAGCAGTGGAGTGTGCCTTATACCTGCACAGCTAGCATTTTGCAGCGCTTATCATATAAAACCAATGATTTCACCAAAAATATCAGTACCCTTGGGAAACGATCACATCTGCTGTGAAAATTGTGAAGGTGACATATCACTGTCCCGCTCTTCCTAAGTGGTGCCTCTGGTTGGCTAGTGTTGGGAATTAGGCAGGTCACCCTCAAAAGGAGGGGAAGGGTATATGTGTTGCTCCAGAGGTTGTTGGGCCACAGTTCCCATCACTCTTCATCACTGACCATGCTGGTGCAGATGGTTGGAATTCAACATCTGGAGAGCCCTGCGTTACCCACCCCTGCTGAGAAGCCTGGCACTAGTACAGGCATGACAAGCTCAGCCTTAAGAGACTGTGCCAGCCAGAGTTTCCAGGATGATAAAAATGAAGGCGAGAAAAAGCCCTCTCCCTGGTCCCTGCCTGTCTTCCTCATAAAATAGGCAGGCAGAGGGAGTGCCTGCTGCTGTAGCTGCCGCCACAGCTACTCCTAGCAGAAGCAAAGTTACATTCTGACCCATAGGATGTTACCTTCTTTTTCAGAAATCCAGACAGGTCCTTTTTGTGTGTGGCTTCTGTTAATGTTGACAGGTTTTACTTTTATTCATTCGTTTGCACAGGGACTTTGCCTACGTAGCCAGAGACAGAGAAACGAGGATTTTGAAATGCCACGTCTTTCGATGTGACACACCAGCAAAAGCCATTGCCACAAGCCTGCATGAGATCTGTTCTAAGGTAAGCAGTCCCGGTTGTTTTCTTCTTCCTGTCTTCTTCCCTGAAGGAGCCATTTGGTTGCTCTGTGTGGTCAGTGCCGTTCTGGAGTTCTTCCTTTGATCCGGCTCCTGCTGCCACACCTGTTCACATCTATTTAAAGTTATTACTTGATAGTTATTTTTCTTCTGACCATTAGAACTGTAATTACATGACTCTATGAATATCTCCCAACAATATTACGTGGAAGTCCCTAATCCCAATGGGACCTCCTTCCATGTAATGAATGGTACGGGGCCAACAGCACGTTTTGTGTAAACACATGGAACAGTCGTCCACAAAGCATGTCTGAACGGGAAAAGCGGCTTCACAAAGGAGGTGCCGCATAGCCTGCTTCCCCTCTGAGGTCCTGTGCTCCAACCCTGCCCCTGCCCTTCTTGCCCCCACAGCTGCTTCCTACTCTGCACAGAAACACAGGATTGCAGCTGTGATTTTTTTAAACCCACCCTCTAGAATTGCCAGTCTCATTGTATTATCTGGTAGCCTTTGTTGTTATCGTTGTTGGGCTTTTATAATTTATCTAGTGAGTCTTTTTCAAATAAAATTATCTTGATGTGTGTAGATGTACAAAAGGATCCATAGACAGCTTTTAGAGCTTCTAGACCAGAGTGCAACTGCCCTTAGTCTTAGGCAGCGTAGTCCGTAAGGACCAGGACTGGATTTGCGATTCAGCAACCGCTGGAAAGCTGCACTTCCCTTACGCTGTTTCTTGAGCTGTGTGTGACTGATCTTACGGAAACAGGTTGGAGCAGTTCTGTCATGCCACCCAGGGCTTCAGATTATGGTGTGTACTGTTGAACCACTAGAAGGAGACGAGGGGGCTGGAATTAAGAGGGTAGCATACGGTCTGAGTTGCCCATAGCCTTGCTGTCCTCATCATTGCTAATAGCGGTAATCCTGGTTTCTTTGGAGGATTCTGTTTCATTCTGGTTTCAGGCCTTATTTGAAAGCGTGTTCATCATCTTGGTGCACAACCCATGCTAAGAACTAGATAAAAGAAATACATCTTGTTGGACCTCTCAACAGCATTCAGGAATATCAGTCACAGTGTCTTTCTGCAACATTTAGTTGATAAATGAAATCCAAGGAAGCTGTTTTGGCCGTAGATCAGTGTTTGGTATCAGTTATGAACTGGATGAGGATGAATAAACTGAAACTTAATCCAGGCAAGATAGAGGTCCTCCTGGTCAGTTGAAAGGCGGATGAAGGAATAAGGATGCAGTCTGTGCTGGACGGGGTTACACTCCCCTCTGAAAACATAGGTGCACAGCTTGAGGGTGCTCCTGGATTCCTCTCTGAGCTTGGACACTCAGGTTTCAGCAGTGGCCAGGAGTGCATTTGCTCAGTTAAAACTAGTACACCAGCTACGTCCATTTCTGAAATCCCAGCTGAATTACTTATTTGTATGTGGGACCGCAGATGGAAAGTGTCGGGAAACTTCAGCAGGTCCAAAACACAGCAACCAGACTGCTGACTGGGGCCGATTACAGGGATCACATCACCACCGACACTCACCTCGTTACAGCAGCTCCACTGGCTGCCAATCTGTTTCTGGGCACAATTCAAAGGGCTGCTTTTAACTTGTAAAGCCCTAAATGGCCTGACCCAAGTTGCCTCAAAGACCATGTCTCCCATTATGAGCCAGCTTGGGTGTCAAAATCATCAGGGGAGGCCTTTCTCTCAGTCCCGCCATCTTCACAGGTGTGTTTGGTGAGGACACAAGAGAGGGCCTTCTCTGTTGCTGCTCCTAGACTTTGGAACTCCCTCCCACAAGAGGCTAGATTGGCCCCACATTTGCTATCCTTCCACAAGCAGACGAAGACCATGTTCTTCAGGCAAATTTTTTCTTGTTGACTGGCTAAATGAGTGTGATTTTTAGATGGATTGTTATGCATTACTTGCTTTGACTGTGTTTTTAGTACTGCTTGTGTTTACAATTTCTCAGAGTGATCTTTGTTTCTTTTTAATATCTGTATACTTACTGTTTCTAGCTTTAACATTATATTTGAATGATGTAAGCTACGATGGTTGTTGTGGGTTTTTTAGGCTCTTTGGCCATGTTCTGAAGGTTGTTCTTCCTAATGTTTTGCCAGTCTCTGTGGCCGGCATCTTCAGAGGACAGGAGTCAGAACTCTGTCTGTGCTCTGGTGCAGTTTGTTTGGATATCCAAACACATCTTGTCTTTGGATATCCAAACAAACTGCACCAAAGTTTTGTTGATTATGCCTGAAAAATTGTTGTATTATCATATTCTCCAGATTATGGCTGAACGGAAGAATGCTAAAGCTGTGGCTTGCAGCTCCCTTCAAGAGAGGGCTAATGTCACCCTTGATGTCCCCTTACAAGGTATTGTATGGTTGGGATATTATGATCACTGTGTAATGACTCATTCAAAGAATTTTATGAGGGATCGAGACGTTGTCACATTGGATTTTGTGACAACTCCCATGTTTTTCTGTTGCTGCTTCTGTCTTTCTCTTACCAGGAAAAAAAAAAGATTAAGGGAATTTAAAAGTCAGATGAACTGCACAGTGCAAGGAATCTCTCATTTGGAAGCATCTCAGTTTGTTGCAGCAAAACCAGAAAGGGGTTTGATCCAGCCTTAGTTCTACCTAAGAGTATATGATTGAAATCAATGGAACTTGAACCAGTTGTGACTGACTCAGAGTACAAGTCAATGTTAGAGCAACTGAGGTGAGGCTGAAGACAAGTCTCTCCGAACCTAGGCATATTGGAAGTTACTTAATTTTACCTTTGGCTTGTCCTGACTATTTTTCTTAATGTTGGAATACAATTTTGTTTATTTTGATTGGAGAGCTGCACCACAACAGCAACTGCTGTATGTTCTAGTTCATGCATTGGGTCAGACAATATTAAAAAGTCAATCAAACAGTGTTTCCCCCCTAACCCACTGAAGTACAGTCAACTGAGTGTCAGGCAGTGCTGTCCTGGATCTTTCTCATTTTTCCCCTCCAGCTTGGGAAGGTTGCTGTTTTGGACTATAGAATCTCCATCCAACAAGGCCCACTGGCTGGGGGATTCTGGCAGTTCTCGCTGAAAAAAATAACTTCTGCTAGCTCTGTCCTCTTTCCCAATCTTTGTGCTGATCAAGAGTATAGTCTTCTGGATTTGGGATATGCTTGCCTCATTGCCTTGGCCTGTGACTACACTAGTAAGCTGAATCAGAGCAATTCAACTTTGGTGCAACTTTATTCGCATTCGATTTTGCATTTTTGTTCAGATCAGGTGATCGCGCCGAAACTGCAGATGGTTTCTCTACCAGTTTCCACACTGGCCCCTCAATCTGATGTGGTTTGATCTGCACCATAGCCCCCATTCCTCTGATCTTGCCCTCTGCCTGTCCCCAGCTCTGTTTCTATAGTTCATTGTAAAGCCAGTGGGCTGTTTAAAGTGTTGCATGGCTTTAGTGAAAAGAGATCATTTTCCAAAGTTCTCCATAATATTCAAATAATATATGTACTCATTGTGGAAACATATTTATTTTATTTACTTATTTATTTAATTTATACCCCACCCATCTAGACTGAAGTCTACTCTGGGCAGCTAACAACAGTACAAATAATAACAATATAAAATAGCACAACAACAGTAATACAATAAGAGATAGCAATGGATAAATTATGTATTGACAGGAGGGAAGGCCTGCCTAAAGAGCCAGTCTTGAATTGGCTCTTACAAAGACCCAGCAAGGGAGCCGAACGAATTTCCAGGGGGAGATTGTTCCAAAGGCAAGAGGCCACTGCCAAGAAGGCCCGATTTCTTGTTCTTTCTCTCCGGGAGGCCCCCTCAACTGCCCATCCTGGCTAAAGCAAGTGATTCAGGTAGATCTAGATGGGAGGAGGCATTCCGCTAGATATTGAGGTCCTAAACATAGCTGTCATCAGAGTTGTTCCCTATTTCATATTGATTTATATCTGTTTTTGTCCATACAGAGGTGAGCTAGCACTAAAGTGGTATATCAACATACTAATAAGGTTATCTAGCACTAAATTTGATTGTTTGTTTTTTAAAAATAAAATAAATACTTAGGGTCAACGTGGGGAAAAGATTGTGGGAGTGAATGTTCCTGCTGTCCAAAACATCACCACACTCAGCTTAGTATATCACCAGAATATCACCAACAGTCACACACCCCATCCTTTTATAGAATGAAAGAACTGATCACATGAGTAAAAGTGCATTCAGATCATTCCAGCTTGAAAAAAGTAGATGCCCCAGCAGCGGGGGGGGGGAGCTCTGCATCGGGAGCAGAAAGACCCAGAGTGATTTGAATTGGCCTTTGCATTGTGTGGTCAGTAAAAGAAGATGCAAATTAATTTGTTCTGCATGAGCAGCAAATCCCACAGGGATTTGACCATGTAGTCACAGCCTTAGTTCCTTACCCAATGCTCAGTCCTTCTTTTCTGCTCTTCTATATGAAAGAGCTACTTTACAAGCACGAAAGATTATGAGGTACCTACCATTCCTTCTAGGATTTCTTTTAAAGTGGGATAGAAGGAGCGCTAATTTATTGAAATCGACAAGAGTATCCCTAGAGATCAGTCACATGGTTACGTTCTTTCATCATTGAAATAAAGATGTTTTGTCCAATGTGAATGTTGATAAGATGAAATTGGGTATTTTCTTCTTCCCCCAAGCAGTAGATTTCCCAACACCAAAGACTGAGCTGGTCCAGAAGTTCCATGTACAGTACTTGGGCATGTTACCTGTACCTAAACCAGTGGGTATGTTTCTTTGTTTGCAACTACTTCAACATTTGTTGTGCACCATCTAACTTGTATCTTTTTGATATATGTGGAGGACAAGAACAAGATGAAACATTTAGATTTTCCTGTTCTTTAAGTAGAACCTCTGTGCTTGCTGAAGTGATTATTTTAATCTCTAAATGATATTTAGTCTCAATCCAGAAAATTGTACCTATTTTCCAGATTAAGAAGAATAACACTTTGGATCCAGTTTCTGTTAGATTATGTTTTACTGGAAATCTGTAGGGAGTTGTATACCATGAAGGATAAAGTTAATGATGTTTTGTGTGCCATATGAAAGACAACATAGTGAACATGCTTTTGGGAAGAAGCACCAGAAACAGTGTCAAGAGAAAAATCTATGTGCTCAAATGCTTAGTTTCTGAACATACCAGACAGGTTTTAATAAACACAGATACTTTGAGAATATAAGTTCTCTCCTGGCATTTTAAAAATACCAATAAAGTGGAATAACAGATGCTTAAGAGCTGATCTCACTAAAGAAAAGTAGCCAACAATTCATCTTTCAGACTTACTTTTTATATTAAAATTTTTGGATGAAAGTAACACCTCCTTTTTTCGTTATTATTTTTTATTCTTAACATATTTATGCCAGCTTGGGCTGAGAAATGCGACTTAAGACATTGCAAACATTGTTCCAAAATTCCTATCTCCTGTAATGCATAGACTCTATTAAATGTTTGAAGCATTTTTATCCTGTATATTACTGGGAAAGGGGGCTTCCGCAGCAGCTGGGCATCATAAGACAGTCTGTCTCTTCCGATTTAACAGTTTAAAATACAGTAAAGGTGAGCATACGTAGTTCAGGCTTGAAGTTTCTTTTAACTAAACTTCAAGGTTTATCAAACGAGAGTCAAGGGCAGAAGATACACACTTAGCCTTAAGTAACCTGGAGCGCCACAATCAGATCTGAGTACCAGAAATAAACAGAGTTCACACATGAACATTCACACCCTTCCCACCTCAGCACAGTATTTTGGGTCAAGAGGTAATTTGGCTGTTGATTTCATGAAGTAACTACAGTTAGTCATCTACAAGTAACCCAGGGAGAACAATAGATCCAGACAATAGATGATGACTCCTCTTATGTGAAAGGCATGATACCAAAGGAAAAGGGGAAGATGAAAAAGACAATCCCTGGCTTTAATTCCTGGTTTTGAAGTTCTTCTACCAATTAGATAGAACAGAGGAAGAAGCAAATGTCCTTGGTGTCTCCAAAGACAGCTGAGTGATCTTGTTCTGTTTCTTCCCAGGTATGGACACACTGAACAGCGCTATAGAAAATCTCATAGATTCCTCTAGCAGAGATGACTGGAAGTCCGTCACCATGAACGTTGCAGATGCCACAGTGACAGTCATCAGTGAAGGAGTAAGGCACAGCCCGGCTTCCCTAAAATTCGAAATTATTTTAGTTGGTACTGGTATTTGAAACTTTGTTTATTGGTGTTTTATTTGCCTCAGACATTCTTTTTGTTGAACTTTAATGACTATAAATAATAGCTACCATATGCATCAGAACAAATTTGGTGACAAACTATGATTTGCATTTTTAAAAAAAATTTCATCACTGCCATATGTTGCCGTCTTCTCCTGTAAAAATAACAGAACTGTCAGTTTAACAAACCTCAGATGAAAGAAAACCTGCAAGCCCAATTCCAATTTCAGTAAAATTATACTTACCGTATTTTTCACTCCATAAGACGCACCGGACGTCAAGACGCACTTAATTTTTAAATACCGAAAATTAAAATAAAATAAAAATATATAAACAGAGCAAGTCCCACACTGGGACTGCCAAAAAAAATCACCAAAACACAAAGCAACATAGAAACATACTCCCAGCCCAAATCTACCCTCCAAAACCCACCAGAACATTTTTAAAAAAGGAAAAAGCAGCAACTAATTTTTAAATACCAAAAAATAAAGTAAAAATAAATAAACAGAGCAAGTCCCATGCTGGGACTGCAAAAAAATCACCAAAACACAAAGCAACATAGAAACATACCCCCAGCCCAAATCTACCCTCCAAAACCCATGCAGAACATTTTTTAAAAAAGTAAAAAGCAGCACCTTACCGGTCAGAAGCCAGCAATAGTGGTGGTGGGGGACTCCCCACGGGGCCTGCTGAGGCCTCCGGAGGCCTGGGAAGCCAGCGATGGTGGCGGGGGGAGGCCCCCACGGGGCCTGCTGAGGCCTCTGGAGGCCTGGGAAGCCAGCGATGGTGGCATGGAGGGGACAGTATTCGCTCCATAAGACGCATGCACTTTCCCCCCCAGTTTTTTTGGGAGAAAAAGTGCGTCTTATGGTGCAAAAAATACGGTAACCAAAATGTAATGGACAAATTAATCAGGGCTAAACCCTGCTCAATACTTTTTTGGACAATGACTTCCAGAATACCCCTGGCCATGCTTGATGGGTTGTTCTGGAAGTCACATAGCAAAGAAGCAACTTATTCTGTCTCTGATTTTTTTTCCCCCATAAGTTGTTTCCTGGTGGTTCTGTAGACTCATGTGTTATGAATACAAATGTCTGCCTTCCTTTCCATGTTCCCAAAACTAAACAACTCATGTTGATGGTGATGTTTGTTGAGCGATTTGAAAAATTGTGTCTAAGAATGCTTGCATTGCATGGGAAGCTTTATAGTGCTTTCGCATAATGTTGTGGGCACACAGTCATGGGGTGCTGGTGCTACCTGCTTGAGTCGACCTTTGGTTTGCACATTATGTTTTGCTTCCTTAGCTCTTAATTGATCAAGGGAGTAACATTTCAGCACCCGGATGAGAAAAGCATTTTAAGTCTTACCTTGAACATTCAGTTGTAATAACAATAATTCTTCCTTGCTAGAATGAAGAGGAGATTGTGGTGGAATGTCGTGTGCGGTTCTTGTCTTTTATGGGTGTGGGTAAAGATGTCCATACATTTGCCTTCATTATGGATACGGGAAACCAGCATTTTGAGTGTCATGTTTTCTGGTGTGAGCCCAATGCAGGCAATGTATCAGAAGCCGTTCAAGCTGCTTGTATGGTAAGTAACCACAGGAAATGATAGTACACCATGTATAAAAATAGAAAATATAAGCAAAGCAGTGTATTAAGTACTTGCTCATTTTACTTGTAGTATTTAAGGTTACTTACAGAATATGACTGCAAGTAAAAGAACATCTGCAGTTCATTTTTGAAATTGCCCTTGCTTTTCAGTTCGGCTCCTTGTTCTAAAAAATTCACATCATGGGTCTAAATATTAGCATCCGCGCTCTCTGCCTCCTCTCTTTTAATGCTATTAGCAGCCAATGTCATAAATTACTAGAGAGACTGCAAGCTGGAGCAACAGCATCAAACATCAGAGGGAAGGGGACAAGCACTAGCTTTTCACAAGAGAACAATGTGTCTTTATAGAAAGGAGACAATGGAAAGAGCAAACAACAAGACTGATGAGAATAACCACAATGCCCTGCTTCAGCTGTATCGTGCAACATCTGCTTCCAGAGCAGTTGGCGGGTATCATCCTTTAAAGCTGTCAGGCATTCCTAAGATAAATGCAGGAATTATCAGCACTAACTAAAGAATAAACAGAGCAGGTCTTGGTGATGAGAACAGGATAACCATCAATCCTAGTCACCACTAGCAAGTTGTGTTAAGTTTAGATTTGGATACTTAAGGCTTATTTTAATAAAACCTAACTGGGCTGTGTATTAATAATTAATTTTTAAAATTTACTTACTATTTATGTAAACTGGGAAGAGGAATGGGAAGATTTAAAAAAAAAAACAACTCACCATATCTCCCATGCTCCATCTAACCCTTTTGACCCTTCTTTTAAAAGCAAGCCTGGAAATGACAAGACTATAAAAGAAAGCACTTTGGCTTGGCTTCTAGCTACAGTGGTACCTCGCAAGACGATTACCCCGCAAAACCTTTTTTATTTTTTGCTAGACATTGATTTTTTCCGATTGCTATAGCGATTTGCAAAATGGTTTTTCCTATGGGGGATTTCACTGGACGATGATTTCGTCCGTGCTTCACAGACCGTTTTTTCGCAAGACAACGATTTTTACAGCTGATTGGTGCCTTCACAAAGTGGCTTCCCTATGGGCAATTTTCACAAAACAGGTGTTTTCGGGACTGATGCTTCGCAAGACAGCAATTTAAACAGCTGATCGGCGCTTCGCAAAATGGCTTACCTATGGGCGATTTTCACTGGACAACAACTATTTCCTTCCATTGGAATGCATTAAATGGGTTTCAGTGCATTCCAATGGGGAAACGCTTTTCACTAGACAATGTTTTCACAAGACAGCAATTTCAATGGAATGGATTAACATCGTCTAGCGACGCACCACTGTAATTCTCCACTGATAGGAATCTCCCCTCAGCAAAGTTGCACTTATGGGACTCTGCTCGCCTCCCTGTGGAAGAGAGGGGAAAGGCATGTTTTATCAATTCCCTCCAAAGTCCCTTAAATCTCCTCCAGAGGGTTGGTCCTTTGTGGAACAGGATGGGCAAGATGGAGGTAGTACTGCAGGGAGGGCAGAAAAGCAGTGAACACTGTCTCCTGCCCTTCATCAGAAGCCTCAGCTGGATCACAGATGGCTGGAGCATTTCTGTCTGCAGAGAAGAACTTGCAATTTAACCTTATATTTACAGGAGCAAAGCCAGAAACATCATCTGGGCAGCTCAGCTTACAAATTACATAATGATAAAATGTAGTATAACTATCACATATATCTTGCAGTCTAAAAATTGCCAGCTGTGGCGAGATTAAAATAAGATTACTGAAAAATCACAACACATAAGCAGTGATTTAAAACATAAAATCACGGCTACTTAACAGGGCTGGAAAGAATTTTGAAAGCCTTCACCTGTCATTGAAATGGTCATAAAGAAGGCATCAACTGGACCTCTTTGGGATTGACATTTCACAACCAGGATGCTACCTCCACTGAGTAACACCCCCACCAATCTTGGCAATAGTTAAGCGTTGTCCACAATAATATGTAATAATTGTTCTGAGAATACAAGAAACTGATGAAACTTGGAGAGACCTGCACATATGCGGAGGTGGTGTGCCTTAGGGCAAGCCTGCACAGCACATGATCTAACAAGGCATCCCCAGGCATTGTGCAGGCAGTGAACATGTTTTATGAATCCCCATTCATAGATGATGGGCTATACTTAACTTGGTGCCTGATACTTTTTACATAGCTGCTCACTCAGGATGCAAATCCCATTCTTTGGGCAAATAAACTTTTTAAGACATGGGGGGGGGAAATCGCCACAAAAAGAAAGGTTACTTACCTGTAACCATGGTTCTTCGAGTGGACCTCTGTGAATTCACACATATGGGTTTAGTCTGCGCTTGCGCTGACATTCTCAGAGCATTCTAGAGCTAAAAGTAACAATTTTATGGGATGATCCCCCATGAGGCACAAGCTCCTCCCACCCAAGATTCCCCTCAGTTCCTGCAATTTGTCCGCCGGGCACGAGAGTTATACAACAATACGATACCCGTGACAACAGAGGGGAGGATGGGTGGGTAGTGTGAATTCACAGAGGTCCACTCAAAGAACCATGGTTACAGGTAAGTAACCTTTCTTTCTTCTTCGTGGCCTCTGTGAATACACACATATGGGTGACTGGCAAGCTTACTTATTGGCAGGTGGGACGTCACGGTAGGAAGGATGGCATCACATTTCTGCCA